TTAGGGCCGTACTATCAAAACACAGAGGTTATGTTGTGTTAATTTCTTTGGAGAGACGAGTGAATTGTGAAATTGTAGAGAAATTGGTCGATTAAGTAACGGGGGGCGGAGTTCAGCACATTCTATGAGCCAGATGTGCACAACGTCTTCAGATCCTTGAACAATCTAAAACAGGAAGCACCTTGCAGACCAATTACAGACGATGTCATGCAGTGGGTGTTAATTGCCGTTATAATATTATTATTTATAATTTATTTTCGACCTGTACTGAGCACACTCTTACGCTTCTGAACATTAATGTCACCACAAATATCCACTTCGATTTTCAAAAGACAACTCTTAATTCACTTTGTCAGTTAAGTCTGTTCCTCAATTTTCATCTTGAGATGTTTACTGAAAAAAGTTTTCTCACAAATATACTTTAAGTAGACCGCATACAAACTATTCAAGTGCAATGACGTGTCTGGGTACAATGTACAAAGAAGTCACTTATGTCAACACAGGACGAGCGTCGCTGCAGTGAACTGAACAATGTACAAAGAAGTCACTTATGTCACCACAGGACGAGCGTCGCTGGAGTGAACTGCTGCATTTGATACTAGACTGAGAAACGTAGCAAACATTGAACATTTGATGACAATTAAAATGCGAGCTTATTTTCAGAAAAACATTTGTGAGTTTGTGTTCCCCTGTACTACGATCCGCGGGTTGCGTGTTCCGGAGGTAGACGTGATTGTGAAACATTAAATTACGCTTGCATGAAGTCACACGCTACGTTTCTTAACGACGGAGGAAAGACTTGTCACGGAAGTCAGTGCTGCCATGCGCGCAAGGAGAGAGTATAAATCGTTTACAACCAGAGTTTGTGGGTGTCGCGACTGGTACGGACCGCGCAGTGCGCAGTGCGAAGTGTTCCTTGGTGAAAAGTATAATCCGTGGACTGAAAAGGTTACGCCGACCATTTGCAAAATATGCACGTGGTCTATGTGTATGTCGTGGTATATTCGTGTGCACAGAGTGAAAACAGAACAGTGTCGTTAGCACATCATTTAGGCAATATATTTACAGTATGGTGGCCATTTGCATGAAAATATTTCGTGTTGTCTCGTGTAAACAAAACTAAATTTCGTGGAAGAGATCTTATAATCTTATTTACTCGTGACTCAGTGACAGGTTAAGAGATGTTAAAATAATTCGTGTCAAATCCTTTAATTCGATGATAAGATACAGAGTTAGAATTATGTGTGTCAGATCTAATAACTCCCAGACGCGTCGCAGGTATTAGAATTGTATTAAATCCAGTAACTCAATAATAAGTTGCAGACAATTATCTGGTTAAAATTAACACATATATTATGTCGTATTTTAATATATTGTAACGTGGGACGGTATACGACCTTGATTGTCAACCCTTGATTTATTCTGGGGTCTGCTACCTCGAATCCGGTCCGATTGTAAACTTGGTTGGATTGTAAGAGACCACGATGTCCTCCAGCAATAATCAATTTAATCAAACTAAAACGTCTTTTACAGCACAACACAACAACACACAATGCTAAATGCAATGGACACAACAATGCTAAACAAACAATGTCAATAAACAGACAATTAAACTGTTTATTGACATTGTTGTGCTGCTCTCATGGCAACACGTCACAATATTTATTAATTTCCTCAAGAAATGTAAATTCTTATTTACGGTAGATTAGTTTAATTCAATTTACTTCAATTAGTGTTTGTGTATTAAGTAATGAATGAATTTTATGAGAAGTTTTATCAGTAAATAATCTCGTATAAGAGACTGCAGTATTGCAGAGTTGTGTGGTGCTATATCCAGAGCTTTGAACATAGAACATGGTTCTGTGTTTCCACATACACGTAATAAGGTATCAAATCAATACCAGAACAGCTAAAAGTAGGTTAGAATAGTTATGTTGGAACCTGAATTTTTGAGGTGTATGAAGGCTAATGCAGTAGACAGGCTATCACATAATAAAGCGCAAATCAAAAACACGTTCCCTAAATCAAATCATGAAGTAAAACTGATTTACATAAACTGTGAGCATTTTACCCTATATTCAATGGTCTACTGCCTATAAATAAACTCGGAGTAATTGGCAGATATTCTTGGTTACCATACTGTAAAGTTATCCCTATCTTAAATTAGGGTACTGAGCAAGGTTAGAGGTGATCCGAACAATAAATTGTTTTTACGTCACTGAAAGTTGGAAGTGTCTTATTTACAAGCAGTTTTTTGAATCTTGACAAAGTCGTATGACTACTATAGTTTAGATCGGCTACCGCAAAGCTTTCCCTAACTTGTTTATACACGGAAACACTTTCACCTTCAAAAAATAATGGCGGAACTCTTACTTTCCTCTTGAATGAGACTGTCTCAGTAATAAGGCAAGAAATATTCTCTGAATCTTTGCTTCAGTGTAGAATCAAAAGACATTTCAAACACTACTGACCACATGCCATCTGATCCAATCGACGATGAAAAAAGGATTTACATGTGATGACAATCTTCAGTTGTTTCCACGAATTCCAAAAAATACGGGGTATCTAAAATTCGTCTTGGAACTAGTCCAGCTGAACTGATTCACATGGTACCAGAACCATCTTTCAGATTTTAATTTCCAAAAAGAACATTGCCCTACGTTGGAATTAACAATGGCGTCCTCGTTCACATAAAAGTGTCGGACAGTTTTTCATCTTCGTTTAACCAGTCATTCGTGTATTTATTCCTTTCTTGTTGCCTTTCCTTGTTTGTTTTGGTTCACGTAACACAGTCTTGGAATCAATGTCCAACACCTGTTTCCTTCCTTCTCGTCAACACTTGGTCGCCAACAAACTGTTGTGGAATGCCGTAAGTCCGCAACTTTAACACTCCGCTGACTCACGTTAGCACGGGTTAGTAGTACTACATAGAATGCCTAAAAATATTCCCGCAACCACCCGCAGTGAAACGCACGCAAGCGCATTTGGGTTCGATCTCCGTTCAGGGCAAGTGACGAGATCTCAGTGATGTGTAAACAATGGGTTGGAAGAGATGTTTGTCGTGTTGTGGGTACAACAGGGACGTGCAGAGAGACGAGGACGAAATTCCGGTAGAAGTCGCCCAAGAAATGGATGAACAGTTCGTTTTCATAGAGCAGTTCCCCACGGATAAGAAGATGGAGAACCCGGTACGTTCCACTGAACTGACCAGATTACGGTACGGATACAAATAAAAATGCTTACGTTCGCTGTTAACCACAAAAATATGCGAGTGCGGGTATTTCTGTGGTTTTATTTTCTATCAAAAAATTCACAGCTCAGCTTTTAGAAAGGCTTCATTTCTGATCCGACATTTGATTAGTCTCAGAACAACAGTAGTTTATTTTTCTATTGCCTTTTGACTGGGAAAGTAAAATGTTAAGCAACGTTAATCTGTGTTACAAATCTGGTAGGACTCAATGGACGAGTGTTCAGCCCATCGCAAGGCCTCCCTACCTTTTCAGGACAGCACAACACAGAAAGACGCGGGCAGCCATGCCGTGAGTGGAATTCGGCATTTCTTTATCAGTTAAAATAAAAGTTTTAAGTCTTAATGAAGTCTAGTATACATTTTTTGTAAGGTAATATTTTCCAGAAAACATTAAAAGTTAAGCTCCATTAAAAGTTGCAGACCTATTAGATCGACACAGAGCGAATTAAATTTTTTCTAACAGCGCGGAGAAGATTTCGCAACCTTCATTCGAACACAGGACTGTACATGGCACTCTGCGGGGCAGTTGAAGGCCGACTAAGATAGTGAAATCATCATTACGTCAACACTAGGATGTCGTATGAGTATTATATGGGTGTGGTGTCATTACAAGCAGCAGATGTACAACAACCAGTGTCGTCAGTACAATGATATCAGAAATGCAGGTCACATTTACCATGACTGAACGTCTTGAATTCTGTTTCAAAGTTAATCGGTTCACCTTCTTCGTGTATCCATCCACCTGAAAGGGTCAGTTTCAGTGCTACGAACAATTTTCCAAAGTCGCTTCTGAATATTAACTCTTCCTTTATTTCATAACCATCTAATGGAGTATAAGGCAACCAAATTAGCAGTTCTGTACGAATGTCGGTTTGTATGGGACAGACGCCCTCCTCATTATGAGTTAATGTTACACACTTTTATGCAAAATAGGTATAGAAATCCCATTTGTCCTCCGGGATGTTTTAGTATTCGCAAAATGAATTAGAAGTCTCTTGGGAATTTGTGGGAAGTGGTCGTAACCTATTTTGCGGAATTATGCCAGTGGCCTAACAAAAAAATCATAAAATACAGGATCATGGAAAAAGAATGGCTACATTGCTAAAAGCTATACTTCATGTAGTAAA